GGAACAACCCCAAAACCCCAAAACCCCAAAACCCCATCAACTAATAATAGAAAAGATCTTAACTTAATTTATTAAGATAAAATAGTAAAAATAAAAATTGTGTAATAATGAGCGTCAAAGATCCATCTCACTCATTAAATTAAACTATGAAGTCTAATTATAAACAGGGAAAACTGAACTAAACTTTTAATCAGGACTTGGATAATGATTTTCTGAGGCAGTCAGACCATATGCGAGCAAATAGTAGTCTAAAAAATAACTAGAATGACCAAGCATTGTCTTCTATTAAATCACCTCAGCACTCAAAATTGCACTCAATTGATCATGCTAATCCCACATTTTAGACTAATCAAAAATAAGAGACTAAGACTATGGGCTAATAAAAATACTAAAGTGTGTTTAATTTCAAGCAGTCGCATACTATCAATCAGGATGAACTCAAGAAAGAATTAAATTTACTATAAAATGATGATGAAAATCATAGGGAAATGTACCAAACTTAAAAAATCTTAAAGGGCTATAAGGAAAGTGATTAAATATCTAGACTTCATAAGCATAAAGAAGAATATTACTCTCTTTAGAATAACAAAGACGATCTGCCAGATAATAATATTGGTGCAAAAGGATCTAATTATATAAATTCTGAGAGTTTTGGCAATCTTAATTAGTCACAAAAATCTAGAGAGCAAATATTAAAATCTAAAATTTCAATCAACACCTAGTAAAGAAGCGAGCAATTACAATAGGTATCTAGAAACGCTGTAAAAGCTAAAGTCAGGGAATCATCAAAAAGTTTTTTAATTCAAAATTTTCAAGACTAGCCTGACATTTTGACATCACTAGCTGAGAAAAAATATGGTTTTGGGGAAATATAATAAGATAATTTGCCTTAATAATAGTAGAAACTTCAATAGTATGATGTAAGAAGCAGTTCTAACCAATTAAATATACAACAGATAATGAATGTGACTCTTCTTGATAGATTTCAAGGTCTCTTAAATATGAGAAAAATAAATAAAAGTAATGATGGAAGGAATATAGGCGGCAATCAAAAGGCATATGATAAACAAAGACCTAAAACAATGATGAGGAAGAGAATAGTTCATCAATCCAGACTAAGTGCTTACAAATAAGATCTCACTCCATCTAAGGACAGAGTAATCAGAATAAATAAAAACAGTACAAGTCCAAAGAGGAACTCATAGTAAGGAACAATACATGCCTTATATAATACTCATGAGAACTTTTTTACTGAACCAAAGATAAAATAGTAAAGATTGCCTTCACTTTAGCAGAGAATTATGAATGAAAATCATAAAAGAAATAGCACATCAGTTTAGACTAACCTAGATAGCTCAAGGCAATAGGTTTAAAAAGTAAAACTGTTGATTAAGTAAAATGAGAAAAGTATCAATCTAGGAACTCTTTAGGGGAATATATAAAGAGAAAGTAGGAATTTCTTACCCAAAAAGAAGGTCTAGAACAAGACAATGATGAACTTTTACAGAGCAAACTTAGATGAGGAGTTATTGAAAAGTACTGTAAACTCAAACAGCCCAATCACCAGCAATATTTAAAGACCTATGACTAGAATAATGAATGGATCATTCGGCAGATAAAGATAGAGCATAAGGCCCAATGTCAATGAGCAAATCAATGTAGTAAAAATGAGGAATTTACTTGAGTCAATGGACTAACAGGTGTAGAACTTAAGATACTAAGAGTATCTGGCTTAAGTTGAGGATCTTAACAAGATAAAATCATACTTTGCCAATAATTATCTAAGAATGACTGAGGAAACGAGAAAAGTAATGATAGACCATATAATGAGTCGCTAGAAAGAATTAGAATCTATAACTTTGTATGAAGTAGCTTGAGAACAATAAAAGATGAAATGCTTAACAAATTAAAGATATAATCTTTTAATGATTAACAATAATTTAATCACTAATCTTGATATCATAACTTAGCCTACTTCCCTTACTTTTAAACTATCTCTTAAATGAATTCATTCATCTTTTTAAAGCCAGTCTCACTAGTATAATGAGGAAGTCCTTCCTCACTTATAATCTAGTAATTCTAGAAACCTAATTGAGTCCAAGATCTCTCCACGTTACCTTAAACTCTATCAAGCTAGAATAATGGATCATTTTTGCCATGATATTACAGCACTGGTAGAGATTCAGCTTTTTACCTAAGCAAGAAACTCTCAGACATATCTGAATCTCCATCCTCTCCTTTTATCATTTTGAAGAAGAGAGGCACAACAATACCCCCAAAACCTATCACTCCTCCAAGAATGTGATTGAAAGTCAGGCCTATCAAAAAACTAAGGCAGCATCCTTGAGAAAAGCCTGCCAAAAAGACTTTTGAATAATCATTCTGATAGTAAGTCTCAGCTTCTTTGCTAATTAAACCTTTGAGGAAATTCATGCTAGCAAGCATTTCAGGCTCATTGTATCGCTTTGGCTCCTCAGGGTCCATGTCTTCAACATTATACCATGAAATGCATTCCTTTTGAATCCTGTTGACGAATTGATTGTCAGCAGTTGGAAGTATAATCCTAAAACTATCAAGGACTGGAAGAGTCCCATTTTTTATTTTCTTAAGATAATACTCTCCTGATTCAGCCATTCCATGTATAAAAATCAAAGTATTTGTGATCTATTGAGCTTTCTTTTGGATAGCAATTAACTCTTTATTTTCAAATTTAGTGAATGATATATCTAATTTAGATTCAATTTCGCTTTGCGATTCCATTCTAATTATACTTATTTTATTATACCTTTGCAAATTTTTCAATACTATTTTCATGGGGTTTTGGGGTTTTGGGG